GTTTCCAAACATTTGCTATGACCTCATCGCAATGAACAAGCTAATATATTTGTTATTCCACACTGATGTGAATTGAGATTTAAAATCAACTCTTAGAAGTGGAATTGCTGGGCGAAAGAATATATTCTTTTTAAAATTTTAGTTGACGATGCCAAAATTTCCGCCCTCCATCAGGACGGAAGTTATTGATACTTCAGTCAGTAATGTATAAGGGTGAATGCTTCTCATCCCAGCCTCCCTCCCAAATGGCTTCCAACATTTGGATTTTTCGACTTTCAGTCTTTCGTGTCTTCTGGATTTTGAGTCAAAGTTACAAAAGCCTTCTCAATCCAAAATTATAAAAGATTTATTTCCCATGTGTTCTTCTAGTACTTTTATCCATTTAGATTTTATCCTGGTATGGGATTTTGACACCAAGTTGATTTTTTTCAGATGGCCACCCAGTTGTCCTTACATCTGTATTAAAAAGTCCTCCTTCATTCCAGTAGATTTGAGGTGTCATCTTTATCTTACACTAAATTCTCATATGTCTTTGGTTAAAATGTGTTATATGTGGATGATGATAAAAGTTGGGGGAAATACGTAGCAGGGAAGAGGAAAGGAGCCAAGGAAAATTAAACTAGGAAAGCTCTTGATGGGAAGATATCTGAGTAAACACCTAAAGGAAAGGAGATGGCCGAGGCCATGCAGCATGGTGCTTAAAGGCGTTTCGCCTCTGAAATTATTGGGGCCAAATCCCAGTTTCACTCTCTGACCAAAGGCAAGTTATTTATTTTTTTTATGCATCGATTTATTCATCAGTGAAAATGGAATGACAAATAGTCCACAATTCATGGGATCGTTATAAGAATTAAATGAGATCTTTTTAAGGAGCTTAGCCTTGGCCTGACGTCTAGAGTCTCGTCATTTTTATCTTTACCGGGGACGTTTTTCTTCTCGTTATACATCCCTCAAAGAATCCATGGCTGCAGAATATTCTGTCACATGGTCCTAGGTAAACTTCATATGTTCATACCCCATGCTGCTTTATTTACCTGTTCCAAAATTGTGAAGACTTTTTTTTTTCTACTTTGGTATCTTTTTTTTCATTTTCATATTCTTTTTCATTAAGATATTGAGCATAGTTCCCTGTGCTCTACAGAGAAACTTTTTTTAGATCTATTTT